TGGGACTGTTGACTCAGCAGGGTGGCTTACCACCACTTGACCACTTGCCTCTGTTCAACGGAGGCTCATTCCGAAAGGCCACTTCTAGAAACCTCCGACTTGGCCTTTCGGTGTTGTAGCAGCTACGACTTTGCCCCTTCAGGTAAGTAGCAGCTACGACCTTGACCTTTCAGACAACCTACAACTACGACTTCGGAACTGTCTAGACTCCTACCCTACATGTCTACAGTTCGATTCCCTTCCAAGTTGTGGCCTACGACAATCTACCTACCACTGGCATTCCTACAGGTCGCAGGTTCAAGTCTACGGGTTGACACTGATACTGTACACAGGTAAGACGGGGATCTAGGGATCGAGCCCTGGGATCTGCATTCGCTACCGCGAACTGGTGAATACCGTTTCACTCCCGCCGGCCTAAATTCGAGGTCCTCCGAGAAAATTTCAGTCCAAGGCAGGACCTTTGCCCTTTTGCTGTCTCTCGTAGGCTTGGACTATATCGGGAGCTGTCTCTAAAAGTTCAGACCTTGTAAACCAGCGGTCGTCTTCTGGTTCCTGATAACTAAAATGAACCTTATACTGTTTCTGTGGACGACCCCTACCTCCAGTTCTGAAGACATCTTCAGCCACTATACCATCTATGTCATATCTTCCATCCATATCCGGTGGGATCATCGGTCTATGGGATGGAAACTGATCACTTGTTTGACAAGGTAGTAACTTCGATGCGTGGAAAACTGGGTAAGTGTGGAGGTGTGCTGGTAACTCGATGGTGTAGGACGGTCCATCTTCGCCGCCCTTGACTTCCAGAACAGGCTACGGTCCTCTATATGTGGGCAGTAACTTCTGCGAGATGTTCTCCTCAGGTGCAAACTCTTTAGAACTAACCCAGACTAAGTCGCCTACTTGAAACTGTGAAGGGCGACGATGTTTGTTCGCTTGCTCTATCATCCTATGCTTTCTCGTGCTGTACAGCAAACTCCCTGGTCCCGGGCGGCAATCTGTGAATCTGATCCCGGTTGAGTCCCTCAAACGGTCTGCGCGGTCGAAAGGACTTGTGCAGTTCGTTGGGAGTGCGGCATGTAGACAAATGCACGCTGTTATTGTACGCACTAGCTACTTTGGCCAACATCTCATCCCAGTTAATCTGATCCGGCCTAATGTACATGCGCAGAACTTGTTGTAGGATCTTGTTCATTTGCTCTGTCTGACCGTTAGTCTCTGGATGACGGCCAGATGACATCAACAACTTAGATCCATACACTCCCATGAGTTCTTGCCAGTTCTGGCTGGTAAAGCGACTATCTCTATCGCTAACTATTGACAGCGGGATTCCATTCTCACTAACCCAACAGTCAAAAACCCTCTGAATGATTAAATCAGTACGTGCCTTTGACGGCAAAGGAACAAAGACTGCGTACTTACTAAATCGGTCAACTATGACCATGACTTGGCTCTTGCCATGCCTGCTCTTGACCTGAGTGTCCATGAAGTCGATGGACACTGAGTCTCCCGRTTGGTCCGGAATGGGTAAGGGTCTGAGAAGACCTAACGGGGCGCGCGTAGAACTCTTGTTACGCTGGCAGACCTTACAACTGCGAACATACTCTATGCAATCATTCTTCATCCCTGGCCAGGTATACGCGCGCATCAGATTGGCTAAGGTCTTTTGCCAACCAAAATGACCCTCTGTGTCATGGCATTCGCCCAGAATCAGACTACGAATCTCTTCGCTATTGGGAATGCACAGGCGGTCAAATACATTAGTCTTCTCAAAGAGTAGCCCTTCAGTAGTGCGGTAGTTCGGCTGAGTTTCTGGGGCCTCCTTGACCTTTTTAAGGAGCTCACTATAGATAGGGTCCTGTACATAGGCCTCTCTAACCTTCTGTTGCAGGTCCTTCCCTATATCAAGATAGTGTACTATTGCCCCAAAGTAATTTGCCCTCCTACTTAGAGCATCCGCGACTACGTTGTACTTCCCTTTGACAAGCTTGAGCTCGAAGTCGTACTGATCTATTTCCGCGGCCCACCTAGTAAGCTTAGGTGTCATCTTGGCCTGTGTCTTTAACCATCGTAACGTTTCATGGTCAGAATAGACTTTGAAGTGCCTCCCAAGCAAGTAGTGCTTCCAGTGGTCTAAGGCTTGCCTGAGAGCGTAGAGTTCCCTCTCATAGGTCGATGTCGCGACCTTCTCTGAAGGCATCCTGGCGGACATGAACTCTACGGGTCTATACCCATTGCCATCGTCTTGCTGCAACATTGCGCCTATGCCGTATTGACTCGCATCAGTCGTGACGACAAAGGGCAAGGACGGGTCGGCGACTTTAAGGACTGGATACTCTATCAATGCTTGCTTTAACTTCTTCATGGTAGACGTGCAGTCCTTATCCCACTTCCAGATGGTCTCCTTTCTCAACAATTTGCGAAGGGGCGCAGCGATGGTGGAGAAGTTCCTCACGATCTTCCTATAGTAATTAGCTAGGCCCAGGAACGAGTGCAACTCTGTCAGCGTACGTGGTGTGGGCCAATCTCTAATCGCTGCGATCTTGATATCCTCTGGCTTAACGCCGTCTCCGTCTAAGACGTGGCCTAGGTATAGAACTTGGGTCTTTGCCCAATCGCACTTCTTTGCATTGATCTTGAAGTTAGCTTCCCTTAGCTTCTCCAAGACCTGCCTGAGATGACCCTGATGCTCTTCGAGGGTCCTGCTAAACACTAGAATGTCATCTAGATAAACTACAACAAATCTGTCTAACTACGGCCTAAACAAATCGTTCATACAGCGCTGGAACGTAGCTGGCGCATTGGTTAGTCCAAAGGGCATCACTATAAACTCGTAATGCCCGTATCTAGTCTAGAAGGCTGTCTTATACTGATCATCAGGATGTACCTCTATCTGATGATATCCGGACTTTAAATCTATCTTAGAGAAATACTTGGCCCCCTGCACTCGGTCTAAGAGATCGTCTATCCTCGGCAGTGGCTCAACATTTTTCACTGTAATAGCATTCAGACCCCTATAGTCTATGCACATTCTCAACTCTCCCTCTTTCTTAGGAACAAAGAGGACAGGTGCTCCGAAAGGAGACGAACTGGGCCTAATCCAACCCTTCTCGAGGAGCTCGTCTAACTGCTTGCGAAGCTCCTCTAACTCCGGCGCGGACATCCTATACACACCACCCTTAGGAGTCCTACTGCCAGGCTCTATCTCAATACGATGTTGGATGGGCCGCGGCACCGTGCCTGTCGGCGGCTCAGTCAAATTCTTAAACTCTTCCAGTAGCTTGGCAATCGCGGGGTCCATCGGCTTCTCCTCCGTAGGCTCAGTCACTGGCCTAACATAGGCAACAAAGACCTGTTCCTCCAATCCCTCCTTCTTCACCAGTCTGGCGAACGCGGGGGCACTAAGGCAGCAGTGCGCCAAGGAATTCTCTACCCCTGACACATGGAACAGGCGGGCAGTCTTGGCCTCGCCTGACGAACTAGGGAGCCTACACTCGTGCTCCTTCAAATGGAGCGTGGCCCCGGCTGCCTCTCCCCAATCCGTTCCCAGAACAATATCAAAGGGGAGGTTGTCTTCTACGAGGAGAGTCGGGGAGTGGAGAATCTTTTCCACTTTCCCATCTTTCTCTAGGCGGAAATACGCCTGGACTCCCTCTACGTAATCCTCTACAACCATAGTGCGATTGTCCGCGAGGATACTAACTATGGGAACTATCAGTTTCTGGACTTTAAGTCCCAGCCTCAACTTCTGCAGCGCTTTCCTACTAATATAGCTGCGAGTGGCCCCTGAGTCTACTAGGGCCCCTACTCTACTTCTAAAAATCTCTGTATCTAGCAATATAAGCTGCCCTTTATTCTCCTTCTTCATCTTGGCCCAGGCGGGCATCCTCTCCTTCAACTCTTCGGCCACTCCTGTGAGGGAGGTGTCTAGCGAAACTCTAACACAAGCAGTTTCTGGACAGCTGTCCAGACACCGGCCCGCAACCTCTGCCGTAGGCACATGTGGTGTGGGAGTCTCCTGCCGGCTAGCGCTATTTTCCCCACATGGCCTAGTGGTAGGGGCAGTTGCTACCCCTACCGGCGGCTGCCTTTTGGCCCTTGGGCAGCCGTTCGGGTCTCTCTATACTTGGGACAATATTTGATGATATGGCCCGGGTCACCGCAGAAAATGCACTGGCCCCGGTCCAATCGTTGTTGCCATAAAGCCTGGTCCAGACCCAGAGATTCCCAAGGCCTACCCTGCGGTAGCCCTGGGTGCCATCCTCCTACCTTATAGGGAGACCTGTTCCTAGGACGGTTTTGCGGGGGACCTTGACCCCTGCCTCCCACTTGGCGGTTTCCTCCTCTGCCGCCAACCCCCTGATCGCCCTGAAATCGGCTCCCTGAGGCCCGGCCCCCTTGGCCCTGGCCTCTTCCTCCTTGCGGCCTCCCTCCAGCCGCGACAGCAGCTTAAGATCTCCCCTGGCCCACACCGCTGTCCTCCTCCTCTAACCCCCACTCAATCTGATCGTAGGGGATCTCATCCACACTACCCTCATCTAAGGTCAGGACAAGGTTGTCCTTGGTCTTTACTTGCCCTGAGATGGTGTGGCCCTTCCATTGCTTACCTTTGTCCAAGTCCTTGTGCCAGAAAGTGGACACAGACGCAGACTTGGCTTCAAAAGCCATTACTTCGCGACTAAAGGGAATCGTATGTAGTGGCAGGGTCTTCGCTCTTTGCGAAGAAATGCCCTCGAAGGGCTTCGGGCATAGCCCGATAAAAGAGGCCAACCAACTGGGTGTCTGTAACCCCGTGGTCAGGGACAGCTACCAGTTCATCCATTGTACTCTTAAGTGCCCTGGCGCTCTTCCACTTACGAGTGTGGATCGTCTGCAGCCTGTCTGAGGCTTTAACGCTACGGGCGACATCAGCGAACCTCTCGCGCAACAGCTTCAAGAACTCAGTGAGGGAAGTGAATGAGGAGTACGCAACGGGGTCATCGCTGCAATTGGCAGCGCGGACTAGGGACCTTGCAAAGCTGGCGGCTTCATCTCTGAGCGCGTGAATCGCAATCAGAACCTGTTGATCCGGGGAGACCTGTTGCAGATGCACGTAGGTCTTGACATTGGCCTCCCAATTGTCGAAGTTTTACGTAGGTCTTGACATTGGCCTCCCAATTGTCGAAGTTCTCTTCCCTTTTTCCACTGTAGGAATCGGGGAATTTAACTTTGACCGGTTCCCGACGAGGAGGACGTGCTTCCTCCTCCTTGGGAGCTGCCGCTTTGACGCCCTCAATGGCGCCGGCACAGAACCGCTCAGTCTTGTCGAGGCGGTGGCCCACCTCGGTCCCTATAGCGCCTACCAGCTCACGCGCAAAGTCCCGAAACCCCAACTTTATGGAACGCACAGCTATGTGTTGACTCCTACTAAAATCATATTGCTTCGCCTGAATTCGTGCCAGGCGTGCAATGTTTCGGGCTATGACTCGCATTTGAGCTGGGAGGTCTGGGCGGCCAGTTGCTCTTCTATATTCTTTACTTCCTCTAATTCTTCTGCCGCCTCCGCTGCCGCGTCCACTCTCCTCTTCTTCTCCCTCATCACTGCCAACTTCCACTCCATCCTCTTTTCGTCTTCTAATGCCTGCCACTTCACAACATCCTTTTCTGCTTCCCAAGCTCTCATAGCGGCTTCCTGATCATCTTTAGAGATATACATCGCCACCTCTTCTTCTTCGCCCAGGGACAAGTTGGCCACCCACTCGGAGATTCGCTTCTCCATCTCTTCATCCCTACTACCACTGTAYTGCACCCTCTTCCTCTGCAATGGTGTTTCATCTTCCTCCTCCTCTTCCACTTCTTTCAACTTCTCTTCTTCCTCCTTTCGTATCCTCTCCTTCTCTCTGGCCATCTCTTCTTCTATCTTCTTCAATTTGGCCKCCTGCTCYTCCTTCAAGGCCTTCTTCTTGGCCTCCTTCTTCTCCTTCTTCTCCTGCAGAATGGCGGCCATCTTCTCCTCCTCCTCCTTCGTGTAAGGGTTGGTGGAAGTACCACCCTGAGTGGGCCCTACTCTACACGCAACAGTGGGCCAGAAGCCCAGAGGGAAGAGGAGACGCCAGAGGGTCCCCCAGAGGGAGAACCCAACAAGTAGCCCATACATCGGATAGTCATCCATCGTGGTGTTGGTGCACGACAGGGGTCCCACTCCTCACCACGTAGACCTACCCGGACACACTGACCTACTGACTGACTCCCTAAAGACCACAGGGTAGGACCCTGTCAACTATGGTCACTACTAACCCAAGACTACTCTTAAGGTTGTCACTACAGAACCAAAAGCTGATCAGGAGGCATTTAAGGAGATCCCCCAAACTCCGCAAGAATTCTTTAACGTCGCAGACAGGACGACGCGATCAGCTTGGTTCCTCTGGCGATTTCAGCCCACAACTCAGCCTCTCCAGCCTACTGTGCCACACCGAGCAGCCCGCCGGTCTGTACCGGTCCTTGGAGGGGTTCGTATCCCTCGGGACAGTCGAGTCGTCAGACACAGATCATCAGCCGTAGTAGGTTCGGTAGGGGAGTGGCTCAACCAGGCCTCAACACTTAAAGACGGCCTTCGTTTCAGCCCACAGCTCGAAGTTCAGACCCTCTACACTGAACTCAGTAGACCTGCCGGACAGTACCGGTCATTGGGCTAGACRAGTTGTTTAACGAGCGCTCGCCGCTCTCCAAGTGCCAGAGTAGAGCTTTGGTCCTACTAAGCCCGTGCAGGTTTGGCAGCAAGGCCCTATCCTTCATCCACAGAGTCCTAGCACCTAAGACAGAAGAGACTCAATGCAGAAAGAGTAGACAGACAACTCAGCAAGTATCGTGGGGTAAGTGCACATCCACAGGGTAAGGGGATAGGCTGAAGGGTCAACGAGATATCACTCCAGCTTGGTCAAAATCTTGGGCAGCAGCTCCGGTCAACGCCTGGGGCAACGCCGAGTCAACGCGGTCAACTCCGGTCAGCGCTTGGTCAACACCCCTGGTCAACGCCTGGTCAACCCTCTGGTCAACCCTCGGTCAACCCTCTGGTCAACCCTCGGTCAACCCTCTGGTCAACGGTCTGGTCAACGCCCGGTCAACTCCTCGCCTCGACTATGGCTGCCGGCACCTTCACCTTTGTCACCCTCGCCGTCTACTTCC